TAATTTTAAATTGTTTTGCATTATATGGCCGTTTGCTGTTTTATGGGGTTTTCCCATTTGCCTTTCAAATATATATACACATATATGTATATATACATACATAAAATGATATACTACCTGAAATCGATCCTGTTACTAAAGTCCCACGCCGAGGGATGACACACCACTGTTCTACCATCTGTCGGTTTGGTTAACATACTCTTGTTCCAAAAAGGCTGTGGCATTGGTTTGAGTCCCAAAGAGGTGAAGAAAGAATCCGAAAGGTTGAACATATCACAGACTGTATAACCCTTGGAGAACATTGTATAATTAGAATAAGCTAGTATACAACATTTATTATATATTTGTTTGTATAATAGGTATCAGCAAAGATAATAAATAGCAGAAGATAGAACATCCGTTCTATCTTCCATTCCATTATCTTCCATTGTGCGTAGACGGAAAGCAATTTTACCCCGTCCGCACGGCGGCGCTATACATCAATACAGTAGTAAAGATTCTGGTTCGTTTGTTTCCTGTAGTTTCTCCACTCAGTCAAATGGGCAAATTTTACCCCGCTCGCGTGAGGGCGGATGTTCCATCAATTTTAATGTAAATACGCGAAACAGCTCATTTTTCTGGTATTTAAGTTCTTTGGTATCAGTTGACTTAAAAGAAGGGGCAAAGTTCCTGGTGGATAATTTATATAATTATGTCATAAATATTTTATTGTGAATGTGTCTTGATTCTGTGTCTTGGATGAATCGGATGGTGGTGGTCCAATTGAATCATTAAAGTAGCTTTGAAAAGAGATGGGACACTATAAGAGATAACAAAAATAACATTAACCACACTTGCGATCTTAAGTAAACTGTGAAGATGAAATTGTGTCACATTCGATGGCAATCAGTAGTAACCTTCATCATGAACCAGAGTTGCGTTTACCTCATTCACACCATTGGTTTTGGAAGTTCCAAGCAGTGGTCTCGTGAAACGTGGACAGGAAATCAGCACGGACTGCGGAACAAGCTAAAATCTCCCGGAAACCAATTGACCTCCTCCGGCAACTTCAATATATTTAAATATTTTAAAATAACTTTTTATATAGGCCTAGTATCTAGTCTTCCTGAAGTTAGCTATCTGTCATGGTCAGCAATAATATTTCTTTAACTTCCGAATCTCCTGACTTTTTCTCAACTTGAAACCCTCTCAATTTGTCACAAGGATGTGTTCATGGAGTATCATTTCTTTTTCTTTAGGACTATCATCGTTCATAAGAAGCATAATTATGAATAATCAAATAAACTGGGCGAGTCGATTGGTCAAGCGGTTAAGACAGGGGAACCGTGACATACAGCCATAATCGGCGCTGGTTCGAACGGCACGCTCGTTTATGGTTCCGGTGGCGAAACAAGTCTTCTCGGATAAGAACTCTCTAAACCGTAGGTTCAGTCTGTTCCCTGGTCCAGTGTACACAATTGGCTTGTGTGCACTTTAAAGAACACAGTACATCCTTCGAGAGGAGTAGGGGGTTTACCCGGTGTACCGGTCCACAGTTCCAATGTCCGGTCACAGAAGGAGCGTTTACGTCGCGGTCCATGTCAGGTACCCTACCTGCGGATCCTTCTACCACACTACGTAGGCAAGATCATACACTATAGCTACTTAGTGACTCAAGAAGAAGAACAGGTATTATTAAACTAAATCATGTGGTTCATTACCTGTTCTACAAGCTGCGGCGTTACATCGACACTTGTTGCATCAGGATAAGGCTCAACAACATCATATATTTCACCCCAAAATCTTCCCCACATATCCCCTAAAAATTAAACCCAAAGGAAAACGAGTTTTGGAGCTGCAATAAGTTATTCTTTATGCATAATGACCTTTTATAGTTTCTATATTCATTTTGGCAGAGAAGCTAAATTTGGCACATTTATGATAGAAAGGCCATACAGTGGTAATTTCGGCTACTGTCATAGAGGTTGGTCATATTAGAATCCGTGAAAATGGAGTAAATACCTAAGATATTTGAAGGTAAAGCTGACTTCAAGTCTACTTTATCACCATACACTGTTTTTAACTTTCGCCTTACGTAAGCATGAAGTTGTTTGTAGAGTGGCAAAATATCTTGGTAAAGCTGCTTCGCATCCTGGACTATAGTATCTGATTCATAATGTGCCCGCCACTGATCTCCAGTGTCTGCGTATCCTATTGACATTAAGTGGTAATATGAATTTCCAGTAAAATGTTCAAAAGAATTAATAAGTGACAAATTATACGAAATTTAACTCATGAAAGTTTATGTTAGAATATTATTTTTACAGTACTAGGTTTTTTCAATATTTTCTGAATAAAATATAGGCCTATACCGGTAATGATAAGTTAAGCACCGTTATTTCATCTACACAACTGCACAAGTATTTAAGTATATAGAATTGTAGTTACTGTATATACAACTACAAAAACTCGCAAAAAATACTCATATCCTCATTATCCGGTATATTAAATGAAATACTTTTTATATACCAATTTAAACCAATTGGGGAACACACAAATAGACACCGAAATTCATTCATCGTTAATGATATCCACAAATTGAATAATACATTTGCCAGATAAATTTAGTATTTAAGTACTGTACATTAATTATCGTATTGCATCTGTTTATTGTTTTTCGATGTTTTCTTATATTTAATTGCATTTTGCTCTCTATGTCTTTCATTGTATCGAGCAAAAAAAATGTTATTTATCACATGTTCAGTTGATGATAATAAAGCAATCTTGAATCTTGATCCTTAATGGGATAAACGTTCACATTTGAATTTTTTGAATATTGAATTTTAGCTTTAAGTTTTGTTGTACTGCATAAGCCTTTACTTTAAGCCTATGTCTAAATTGATTTTGTTTTCCTTAACGTAATCACATTGTTTAGCTTTATAATTATAAGTTGCTTAAATCTTTTAATTGATTTTATTAAAGTCTACCATAGTTTAATGTTGACCGCATTACATAATTATGTGTTGCCACTGTTACAGAATGAAATGTCAAATAAATGATTACTATAAAAAAAACAAACTAACGGCTGCTCTTCAAATGAGATGACTGATGGAAGAACCACTCGATTTAAAGAACAATATTTTGATATTTTGTATAAATTACAACGTTATAATCTGGCTCCAACGGTGTCTGAAAAATATACAACTTATACTAACCTGCTATCCTTGCGGCTTCATTCTTTAAATCTACATAATCGATGTAGAGAGGTCGGTTGGCGCGTCCTACTGCATCTCTCCATCCTTGCCAAGCCCACACTCTTTCATCCCAATCCTGTGATTTCGCCATAATTTCTTCGAGATCTTATTTATAATTGAATATAATAACTGAATTTACATTCACATGGAATAGATCTATGCCTACAAGTATTAGGCCTACCTCTTATCTCTTGTTTTTTAAGTATGGTTAAGCGTAGGATAGGAGTATGATAAGAATATTGGTGTGAATCACATCACATTAAGTCCGAAAACCTGTTTCCTTCAGCCCTGCAGCTGAAACACAAGGAGAGCAGTGGATGGATTTGAACCGGTGACTAACAATTTGAAAGGATCCTCACGGTTCAGCGCATAATTGTTGGCTACCACCAGTTTAGTCGACTAAGCTCTCAAATCGTTTCAAAATGTAGATAATGTGGCACAGTGTTAAAATGTGTCCTGTATGACAATTAATTAATCAAATTATACGAAGATTCCAAATATCACAGTGTAATTACTGGCAGAATAATGAAGAATAATCTATGCCTACGGTATGTATCCGTTCTAAGCATTTTCCATCATTTCAGATGGACATTGTTATATTTAGTATAATATTGTATTTTCTTTAAATTAAATGAATTTCTTCAGCTATACAATGAAATCAATTGACCGAGTCCTATTACTATTAGTAATTATTTGTTAATTATCTCACGACACGTCATTACCTGGCTCAAGAGGTAAACATTCACCATCTGTCTTGCACACTTCCCCTGAGCCATAATTTCCATTCATTGTAGCTATTATATCAGCCAACTAGAAAAATAAAAATTATAGTACAATAAAGATACAAAAATAGCAAAAGCATACATGGTGTCAAAACTGAGCATGTAATTGCGATGTGATGGTTGATGATTAGGGCTTCTGCATATAAACCGGTCATTAATGCGCGTTATATCGGCTACATCAATCTTTTAGCATAATGTTATATTGACATGTAATAACTTCAACTCCGATCATCCATCAATCTATGCTACATCACTTCTACAATAACTGATTATTTAGCCGTAACATTTTATCATATTTTGCATGTGTTAGAACTATTAGGCCTTCTCTTTAAGACTGTTAGATTAATAGGTCCATGGTTAGACCAAGAGCATTAGTTTTTATCCCCACGGGTTATAGTATTAAGCAAGTGGAGTATATTCAATGCATAGTATTATGTATAATGACGGATAGATGGACAATACTGCTTAAATATGTTTCATAAAATAGCGTTCAACGTTAAATAGTTGAACATCAAACGCAATGGACAGACTTGTCTGCTTAGGTGAGTTGGTAAAGAGCAACCGTGCGTAATAAGAGAGTCATTCCAAAATGTCAATGGGGCCCTGCCATTACGTGTTTCTCAAAATATAATTTTTACAGCAAAAAGGATATATAATTTCCTACTGTATTATATGTGATAAAATGTGTGAAAACCTCAATCATTTAATTAAAGCATCAACTAGCCCCATCCTTTTAAAACGGTCAAAAAAATCGTCACCGACGACACAACGAAGAGGCACAAAACACATTTTTACTTCTTTTTTTTCTTTGACATTTTTACACAATTGTTAGGAGTGCAACTACATTATTTAGTTAATCATGCTAAAGCAGCCATAGCGCACAAACCGAGAAATGGATTTTTTTGTTTTCACGAACAGACACAAACTTGCAGTAGGTTATCAGAAGGCGCGATGGGTGGGGCTAGACGTAAAGATTAGATTGCTTAATTTTCCTATGCATAGCGGTAGGCTACCCTTATTCCAGTATAACTTGAAATAGGCATGTACAAACGCATCAAGTGTGGAATTATTAGTAAAAACATACGGTAATAGTTTAAGCAGGATTAAGCCTAGTTTGTAGGCTTATAATCACCCTTAACAACATGGTAAAACACTGGCTAAAAATAAATATTAGTTTGTGTCTAACAACGGAGCGCGTACAGCAAGTAAAATGAGATTTTAATTTTCACGAAGAGACACAAAGTACGCTGTACGTGTAAAAAGCCTATGCTGAGTTTATTTGTATCGTTTTCAAGAACAGACACACACTTTCACGCTAATTAACATGTTTTTTAAAGTTATGAAAATAAATGTTTTTAATTTTCATTTCTTTCGGAAACACGACGTAAGACATAGTTCTGGAGAAATGAAATGTGGTTTGTAGCGTTGTTGGGAATGTCTTGATATTTTGAATAGACTGCTCTAATCGTGTTGTTCAGAAGACTAAACAACGCAATCATTTCCTCAGACCTAACAACAGTACATGACATTTCGCAAGAGTTTTTCAATTATGTTAAGTTGCTATGTACGTTTTCGAACATTATTAATATGTTTCATTTCGTTTAATTTATAGATACTTAAAAAAAATGGGGAAAAATATATTCGGGCCTATTATAACGATTATGATTTTAAAAGGAAAAAAAAACCAAATTAGAATATGAAGGTAATTACTGTAGTCATAGAGATATTACTATAATACCTCCATGCTGTAGTAAATATAATATTCTCAGTGCTTGTTTTCACACTTAGCACAGATATAATTGTTAGGTTTACCTTGCGATATTTGTCTTCGTCTTCAACTGCAAGAGCATAATTCCCAATATCTTTAATAAAAGCGATTTGCCTTTGCATATCAGATGAAAATGTGGATGTATCAAAGCGGCTAGCGTTTTTGTAGGCTTCTATTACAAAACCCGTACTAGCGACGTCTGCATCTACCTATTGAAAATAAACATTAATAAACTTGATGATAAACTTTAACTTTAACTTTAATAGTTTCACCAGCTATAACAAAATATGTATACAGCAAACGAGACAGATAATAGTGAAACCAGGTGGCGAGGCCAGCAAAAGTAAATAATTATACTTCATTAATAATAATAATTAATAGAAACTGTAAAAAATATTTGGCGATTACAGTACATAATCAAACAAAATCACTTGGAAGTTCTTATTCCCTATTTTAATAGTTTGACTAAAGTGGGATTGGTAGATTTAGCCAATCTGTTTGTTCTACAATGAGGCATAACATATCGTTCAGTCTAAAACCTGGTTTCCTGTCGACTTAGAAGGCAGATTTACTTACGATTACCTCGTTTTATCGTAAGAAAATGCGATTTGACAGGAAACCGATTGCGACTGGTGGGTTGTGAAATCGACGTAACGTAAACTAAAATCGTCGCAAAAGGGTTTTGGACAGGAAACCGACGTATTGGATTTTCATGTGATACGTCGATTTTACACTATTTGACAGGAAACCGCGATTTAGTGACTTTTGTTGAATGAACTCGCATACGTTGCGTTGCAAACACTCCAAGTTTTCATAAGAAACGTAAGCGGAAGCGTATGGTGTCTGTATATCTTGCCTATACAACAACATTCTCGACGATCTAGAACTCTCATTGATTTCGTATTGATAATAAAATGGTTAAAAAGAAGCATACCCTCGATTTTTTCAAACACAATGATAGGCATGTAAAAAATTATAGAATTTGTTAGCCCTATACACGGTGGCGGCTAGGATATAATTTATGGTGGGGGGGGGGGTGCCTAAGGTGTCCGACTGTGGGGGGGAGGGTAAGTATTTATGCGTGTAACTATAGAATGAGGATTACAATTAGATTTAATTAATTACATTTATTATTCAAAAAAACTATATAAAACACATAATATTAAAAAATAAATGAAATATAAAATATATAGCCCTATTTCCAGTTGGAATATTTTCTGCTAATTTCAATAAACATTTTTTTTTTCAAGTGTATTTCATTCTTAATTTAAATTCCTGTTTATATTAAAAACCCGATCTTTATAATTTTAACATTTAAATTATGTTTTCTGTATACTGTATATCTGGAGATAAGATTTTTCTGTCAGTTCAAAACATAATATTAAATAGATTAAATGAAATAAACGAAGTACAATATACAATTTATATTTTAAGAACGAAACACTAAAATCGATAACGAGAAAGTTAGCAAATCAAGATTTGTAGGCCCTTGTTTAAATCGAACGGTGAAAATTGTCCTCGAATTTCGCCAGGTTATTTTAATGAGGAAACCAGACAGGAAGTGAGAAATGTTAACATATCGCAGTAGTCGCAATGAAAAATTCAACTTGACGTAACATATGCATGTGACGACGTTAGGAGAAGTTTTGCCGTTCGAGCTTGAAAAATTCAACTTGTCGTAAGAAACGTTACCGGCTTCTGTCTGCGGCCCAGCACGATCAAGACGCGGCTGTTTTTGTCCAACTTCTCGTAACAGTCGTAAGAATCGTATGAATCGTAAGAAATTCTGAATTTACGTCGACAGGAAACCAGGCTTAACGTAATGTCCTATATGGTTGTGATCTCTCCGGCAACCATGCTTTAAAACGATCATTGGAGAATAAGCCCTTACCAAATTTAAATAGAACGGTGGATTAGCAAGTATAGCAAGTGATTTTTGGTAACTGAAATAGTTTTGGTAGCTAGGGATGATTTTGCAAGCTCATTTTTGAATCATTTTTTCAGCTGTGCAATATGTTTCTTGGTGATAGCTAGAGGTGTGCCATAGCGGGCATGCATACTTTAGCAATGGTCTGACATATGTAATGTGTGTGAAAACAAGATCATCTCTGGAAGCTCCAAACTGTCTCAATGCGAAAAGCATATAAAGACGTCGAAAAGATTTAGAGATCATTTCCTCACCTGCACATCCCACTACATATAACTTTGAATATGCACTCCAAGTAGCTTGATACGAAACTGGAAGTAACTCGCACCTCCCATGATTAGAGGAATTAATTGGCGTTACTGATCAGCAGAAAATGAATGTGGATATTCTTGAAATTTAGATGTATTTGGAACCATGTTGTTTGACATCGCACCAGCTTTACAAATTATCAAGATGATGATGATGATGAGGAGGAGGAATATTTATATCATATAAATGATCTAGGTGTGTATATAATGATAAAAATATTATTATGTATGCAGATGGCACTAGCATTTTTGATAACGGGGATAATTTAACTGGAGCATTTAGAACTACTACCGGTAATGTACCCTCAGATCGTCTAAATATCGGTACTTGGTTTCCAACAAACAGATTAACCATCGATGAAAATAAGACTAATTAAGTTATATACAGATGTGCACGTAAGGTCTAAGATCATCGGCTTATAATGAAAATATATACCACTTAAGAGAGTAAATTTTTAGGTGTTTATTTGATGAGCTTCTTACGTTTGGTAACCATTGAATATCATTAATCTAAAAATGTCAAAGGTCATTGGAATTAAAAATAAACTTAAACATTCCATACCATATTACTGACCATTTATAAGTGCTTGAAAGTCCCCAATATCACACGGTATATAAACCTGGGGATATACCCACAGCACTTACCTTCACAAAATTCATAAATTACAAAAGAAAGCCCTCCGCATTACATGCAAAGTTCATTCACCCCTCCAAAGAACCTTTGTAAACAGTATCACTCAATGTTTATCAACTTTATGAAAAAGTGTTGAACATTGTTTAAATTTCTAAAACGGCTTTTCCCTACTACATTTAAAAACTACTTTCAATTAAACTTTACAACTACAACACAAAGATCAGATTTTCGATCATCCAAAAAAGACACATTTGAAGCCCAACAATAATTACCTAAAAGGCCCCCAAATATGGAACAAAATCTTATACACCGTCTAATAATTCCATCGTGATGTATGTATTAAATCTAAAAATCTAAAAATTAGGCCTATTCTATCTTTATACGGATATATTAGCCAATGATTGCTATTCCAGAAAAAATAGTTTATCTATCATCTTAAATGACATTACAGGCCCGTAGCCAGGTTCTTCCAAGGGGGATTTTCTGGGCGTGGAGGTCCACAGTCGAAGCCCCAGTGGGGTCGGCGAAACCCCAAAAACAAGAGGATTTTTGTGCTTTATGGGTCTAAATAATGCTATAAAAGCAGATATGTTTGATAATGTCTGTGTCGGTGTACAGTAAGCATGGCCCCGGTAAAAATGGACCAGGAAAAAATAGCCCCGGAAAAAATGGCCCCGGTAAAAATGGCCCCAAATGACAGGTAGGTAAAAATGGCTCCAATAATAAAATTCTGCATTAAAACTGATTTTTTAAAAATCATTATATGCATTTCTTTAACTGAAATAATTTAGTTTTTAAAAAGGAATCTAACATCAAATAAATTGTCATTTACATTTTACTTTTTGTAGGAATTACATAATTATTGAATGATAAAATATTCAAAGATAAAAAAAAACACTTTTTATTTTTTCCCATTTAAATATTAAAAAATAGCAACAGCATAATCAATAAATCAACATAAATCATGCATTTATGAATACTAAAATAATTTATTTGTGGCCAATTTCACGGAATCACAATTTTCCAGAAATTCAATCCGGGTATTGGTAAACCCCACAAACAATGAGTTTATATGAACATCAAATTATTATTATTATTTTTTTTAGAAATAGAGTTCTACAATTATAATTAAAGGGTTTGGATGGGGTTCTCAGTGTGTTTTGAGGTTTGTGGTGTATTTGCAAGTATTTTTTTCACAAAAAATCAACATTTTAACCAAAAAATAGGTTCTTAAGAATATTGAATTTTCTTATTGATATACCAAGTGAGTCAATCAAAATTGAATTGTTTGGTTTTCTACAGTGTGTTTTGGGAGGTTTGTGGAATTTAGAAATACCATTTAATCCTATCATAATTACCCTACCTTACAATTCACGCCATTTTAATTCTTAGCATAATTGCCATATTTACATATGTATATATAGTATCTCAGTTTACATTATTTATTATAGTTTTAGGCACTTAAATTTAGTTGGCGGGGAGTAAAAACCAAGTATGCAGTTAAATAAGTTGTTTAAATAAACGTAGGCCTATTCCTAATTATTCAGTTTACTTTAAAAACAATATATGATTAACAAATACTTCTTTGAAGTAACTCTAAGCAGAACATTTATTGCTAAGTTTGTGAGAAAGTAAGCCTCTCCCTTTTCCCATACATAAACTTGTGATTAAAACATGTAAAGTTAAAGTTTCATTTGATACTTAACAAAAGTGCATTTTGTGGTTATCTATGAGTTGCATATTTTGGTAGTTGAAGTACTGTATGTATGTCATTCCTCTACTTTGTTAGTGGAATAACGTTTTTAAAACTTATTTCTACTATCAAAAAATGTTATTCAATGGCCATTGTTTTCCGATAATCTCTCAGTACATTATTTGCATCTGTTGTGTAACTGTATTTGTTATTGATTCAATTCTTGCTTTTTACAGCTACTATTTAAATATTTGAAGATTTAAAAAAAAATTATTTCTATTACTGAATTTTTTCACTGGGGCCATTTTTACCTACTTGTCAATTAGGGCAATTTTTACCGGGGCCATTTTTTCCGGGGCCATTTTTTCCGGAGCCATTTTTTCCTGGGCCATTTTTTCCTGGGCCATTTTTCCCGGGGCCATTTTTACCTACATTCGTCTGTGTCTGGGTGGGTCTGCAATGCATTAGTTGGGTTGGAGGATATTTGGGAAATTTAAAGAGGGGGTTTCGTCAGAAAAGAGGGGGTTTGCTAGAAAAGGGGGTTATCCCGAATCATAACCCCTCTCCCCCCCCCTCGGTACGGGCCTGCATTAACAGTCTGAATATATAGTGTATTAATAGTTTGTGAAGTTTTCCGTTTTTACTATGAGTGGTATATTCCTGCACGAATTTTGCTCACGAGTGTATTACAGTATAGCGGAACCCCCGAGGCGTATGTATTATTTGAAGGCCAACTGTTGTTTTCAATTGGTCGATGTTGATTTAACGCACGACCCTCGATTTTTATTATGTTGGCCTAGAATAGATATTTATCTTGATTGAAAGGGCATTGGTCTTGCTTAATATTCAAGTAAAATGATTATAAAAAAACACAGAACAATTGCAACAGAAGATTTATGATATGACGTAATAATATAGATATGATGTCGTTATTAGGCCTACATCATGTGCCTATAATGGTTAGTGGAGTTATACACCAAGCTTAACCGAAAACTAGTTAATGCTTTATATTGAAATTTGATCGGAAGCAAAATGAATGAAGCAATTTTGTAGCTGGCTAGTAAAAATCATTTCAATGTACAATTGTGTATTAATTTTACTAAAGTTTATCGTATTACAACCTACCGATTTCTGCAAATTTTCGTCTGTTATGTTAGTGTAGTAGTCCCACGATGCAGAAATTTGAGGAAAATATACGTCACTGACATGGTTTTCGTAATACTTAAGAAAATCTTCTGCCTCTTGAACATTTGATGATAAATCTCCTAATGTCAAACATACAGAGAAATAAACTATAGCAAAAGAAAACTGCAGCTTGATGCGGTAAGTTAACTTCATTTCGTGCGTTTGAAGCGAGTACAGTACGATACAGCAGGCCTGTGAATAAAAAAAACTTGAATAGACAACATGCAGACAAAAGGTCACGAACTTATCAGTGTTGTTACGTTTCACTATCTCATAAATAGGTCAAATAACTATTACTAAAGGGGAATATTGTTACAAACTTGCTCTAAACCAGCAATCTATAGCCAATATTTGAAATTAAATGAGCCATCACTTAACAAACGATTACTGTAATGCCTCCAAGGTTAGAGTAGGCCTAAATATTATTATATAGATGTCTGTTGTCGACCCAAACTGTGCCAAGGTTCGAGAGCAGGCCAATTAACTTTATAAATGGTGAGATTTTACCCACAGTACTATACTGTTGACTTCAGGTTCTTGTATGAGTAAATATTGACAACACGATTAGAAGTTCTTTTGAAGTACGGTATTCAAGTCGACGGTTTCAGATCAAAACAACAAAGCCAAAACAACATTTTAGCAGAAGAGATATAAAAATCAGATTTATTCCTAGGTCCGCTGTTGCATCCAAAAATTGCAATTATTAAACCAAAATGATAAAGATATTCATTAGCCTTGGAACTTAAACTCGGTAACGGGTGTGATGTGAACTCGTAAATTAGGTATATTTCTTATAGGTGAATGAGTAGGCCTAACTATACTGTACTAGTCCATTGAATGTGTCAGGATAAACTGCATATATAGACATAGTCCCTGCAGTTTCACTGCAAATAACACTCTTTTCTTCAAGTATAACAGTTCCTGTTCTTAGTCACATGACACATCATCGCTAATCGTTTATTTAGATAGATTAGTTTAGTCTTAAACAATTGATGTGGTAGCATTTTTGTGCCTATGTCCCCTAGGGGGCATCATCGTCTAGTAGTTTAACATAGACACTGTATTTGTCTAGCGGTTAACCCAGGGAACAGTGGGGCTCTATTTAAGGTCATTTCGGTAAACTGAACATGAATAGCATGCATGCTTGACACTTCTTCTCGCGAAAGTGTAGCCTGGGTTCCAGGCCCTAATTTTAAGTTACTCACTCTTTATTACACTTAGTGCGCGCCATACCTAATTTAATTGGCGTCCCATACTCGATTTCTTTTTTTTCGAATTAGGGCCTGGGCAAACGATTCATG